CCCCCCCCCCGACAAGATGAACTCCTACATTTTCCGCGAATGATCGGACTAGGGGCTTGACTCGAATTTTAGATCCTCTAGACTCTGACACTCTACCAAATGATCAAACTGGATTTGAACGTCTCTTTCGCTGACTGAATCACACGATGATATGGCAAGATGAAAGACGATGAAGTGCACTCTTCTGAACTCATTACAGAGTGTCATGAAAACAGCTGATGAAAGAGTTCCTAAGAAATGAATGCGAGGGCATTGTTTCATGCCCGATATAAGTGACAGCAGCTTCAACAGTCCCTGTTCTAGGTTAAGAAGCGATATCTGGTGAATAAGAGACATCACTCCATTAACTTGTAGGGAGACTAGGCGACAAAATGGCTATCACAAGCGTTTAAAATATGAAAGCGTAAAGAAATACATCGACTAGAATTCAACACAACTCGGAAACAAGTCGACAAGCAAGGATGATGGAAAATATTAAGATTGATTAAAAACAAACATGAAACAAATACCTATGCGCCACTTTAAACATGTTGTTGGGTTGGAGACTGAGACTGGCGACGGCCGGCACATCGTCACTGTACGGTCCGAGATCGGTGAAGGTACTGGCGACGTAAAATACGTCGGTGGTGGCCGGATCCGGAGGACCAGGGGCAACGAAAGCAACGGTCGATGAATGGTCGTCGTTTGCGACGACCAGCTCCGAAGTGCGCGGGTCAGATATCGAAATGTTGTAGAGGTTGTGCAGCTGGCAGCCGCCCTGGAAAAGAGACCCACAGGCTATCAGCTTTGTCTGTTTCTGGTAAATGGCCAAAGCTTTGTTGTAGTTATTCATTTCATGTTTCCGCACGTAACAAGAGTTGAACGCCGGACAATTCGGTGAATCCATTGCAGGCCCTGTTTCATAATACGCTTGAAGATCCAAGCCCGAGTTGAACTGGTAAAGCCGATTGACGGCACCGACGTAAATGCGGCCACTGTACGCGCGGTCGACCACCTATAACTGATGAGATCACAGCCAAATATTACTAGACACAGCGACAGAGAGAATATCATAAGAGATTATGTATTCAAACAATACTTGAAGAGCACATCTGTCCGGGTTAGTGATGTGTGACTTGGACGAAATGGGTTTTGATATTCATGACTGACAAACAGAGATTTGCAATACCTTCATAGAACTTATGAACTCACAACTGACCTACAAGTAAGTATGACCATGCATTGAAAGATAATCAATTAAATGACTTATTGCCCTAGAGGAGAAATATGACACTGTATAATTTCTCTGCCAACTACTCAAGGGATTACGCAGCATCAGCGGTCTTAGATGCACATCTACGATGGTTAACAATTCGTTTTGATTTCACACGGTGACTTGTCTGCAAATTATATGAACTGCCAATAGAAAGGACCATAATTCGATTAACAAACATAGTACGAAATGAGCACAAGAACTTAATGCGTACGCGCAGAGAGGAGAAGTCAAGTGTGGTCATTATTGTCGAAACGATGACTCCCATTTACGACCCGGGACCTGCAAATCAGATTGCAATTAATCACCCGTTATTGCATGTAATTAGTGTTCAATCTTTACTGAAATAATCCTACAATTGGAGAAGGTAGGACAACGTAGAACAACCACGACCAGTTATGAATAAAATCTCTTAAGGTTAGCAGTGACGCTGAGGAGTGACTATTTCCAGCGCTGTGTTGCCTCCACTTCGAGATTAAAACGAAAAATTAAGACTCGCGACTGAAAATGAGGAAACCGCGTTATTAGACTAAGTCATGTTATTTCGCATGCCATCGACTGGCTTCACTAAAACACATGTTTGCAAGGAAAGAAACCAATCGCCTCGAAATGAGAGGTAAACGACACCGTATCGACTGATGATGACCGACGAATCGAACAGAAACGCCTAATTACAGCCTTTTCCTCAAACGATCGATTAACGAAACCGTACAAGACGCTTGAAACGGACGTTCATTACGTAATAAAATTCTAACGATCATCTTGAACGATTACTTCAACAGCATGCATTTATTGAACGGTCGCAACATCCGAAGGAGACATAGTATACAGAGTAAGAAATTAATCAGTCATTTTATTTTTAGGACAAAATTAACTCACTTACTAATAAGCAAATAACCCTAAGCTATAATTCTCCTTCAACGGCATTATGTTAATTCACCAGTTTCAATCCACTGAGTTTATACACACATTTTAGTATGATGATATGTAAGAAAGGCGAGAGCAATGATATTTTTCGTCCGAAAATTTAGCAACAAATAAAAGCTTAACAACCGTTGTTTTCTGCATAGGGAGCAATGCTTACGCCATCGAAACGGAGGGTTAGGGTCAACGTGAGTTCTTTCGGAACAGCGGACAACAGAACTGTTCAAAGTGTGATGTGGTACAAATTCAAACGGGAGCTATGAAGATCCCCGTAAAGAAAAATAACAATTTATATCAAAACTTGCAACGTTAACAACAAATCTGATAACTTGCATCAATGAAGGCTGGAAGATTGAACATGTTCTTCTCCAGGAAATTGCTCCTGTGCTTGAGAAGGAAAGTTTCTGACCTGTGTGTGTTCCCAGTGCAAACCTATGGGTGCGAAAAGTGAAGCCTACGCCTAAAAGCTATTCATAAAGTGCACATCATGCAATTCAGCACGAAAAGATGTGTTGCAAATAACGAAAAAAGATAGGAAGACGAATGAATGGGTAGGAGCACAAACAGAAGTATGCGACGTCATTGTGCGAGTAAGTAAGTAGCAATGGACTGTACAAGTTGCAAGGGTAATCGATCATTGTTGAACCAGAGAAATCTTAGACTCGGTTCCAAGAAAGAGTAAATGGCTTCTATGTAGACCTCGAGATCGATGGGACGAAGAGTTGAAGAAATTCGTTGGATCGAGATAAATAAGAACAAAAGTTTATGCATAGTATTAGAGAAGTATTCATCTGGCAGTGGATCGAAAACGACTCATGATAACGATAAATGAAGAAATGAAAAAACTGATAACGTAGGAAACTTCACTTTGGAATCTCGGTATCATGGAGGGTTCGTTGTTACGCTGCTGTGCGTTTACTTCACAGAGCCAATGCCACGTCCTGATAACGAACAGTGAATAGTAACCACTGCACAGAGGATTGAATGCTAACAGAAACCGAGGTTCTACTAATTCTTCCTAAAAACAACGTTGACCGTGGACAGCGACTATAAATCCCCTAAACGATGCTTTTAACAGATGCGAGGAAGCAAACGTAAACTTGATGTGTGTTAATTATTGATCTGTTCGACATGATGCAACGAAACAGTATCAACAAAGACATAAATATGGATGAATATGATGTCAGGTCAAACAATGTCGCACTAGGACAAGACAAACGAAGAGGAAATGAAACTTAGGACTGTTTGCATAACTCGCTCCCTGAAGCAAACTTCATGTCTTCATTGTTGGCAGCAAAGAACGGGATGACGTAAGGAAAGAAACTGCTTGTTGTGACTATCACTTCGGTTCCGCCTTCCCACACTCATCACTTAATTTGAGAATGACAAATATTGTTTGGCTAACAGTGTGTCACGTCGGCAGTTTTAGTGAAGACTACCCTCCAAGAACCACTCAAGTGTCAGTTTATACAAGAAGAGAAAGTACAATAGATTTTATTCAACTAGCATTTGCGCTAAGTGTCTAAAATTCTGTCACATTAAGCGTGACAAAAGACTCGAGGCGTGTAGCTGGATTTTTCAAACTTCTAGGCAGCTACGTTGCGGATTAGTATAAAACGAAACAAATAAGATTAAAATATGACTTAATACATAAACATGAATATTTCCGTTGCAAAAGAAAACAAACCAGGGTACAGAACATTGGAAACTGCTACCTAATATCAACCTCGTCGTGACGCCTATTTAATACCAACGAGTGGTTTCGATCCAACGACTTCAAGATTTAGTCACGTGTATTCTGATTTCAAAAGGGGCTGGCTTCGGAAGAGAAATGCGAAGCCATTAATCACAGGCAACGCATCGAATCTGGCTACCGATACTGATTAAACACTACCATAAGTATGTTGATTTACACAAGGGCTGTTTACGGGGACAGATCAGATGTCCGTGCTCATATTTATCTAGCCCGACATCTGTTCGTTGATTAGTTTCCGGACACCTCCTGACGGTACAGATTCTACTCGTCAATATTCAGCGGAATAGGAAAGAAAGCAGTGTCGGTCAGAGGACAAACGGCCTGAGGCTTCATCCTCATCACCTGAGTAAATGAGTCGAGTTATTTTTTTATTCAGACCATGCTTCACTTAGAAAATCTGTTTCAAGGATAAGATATTGTGCAGCTACCAATTCCAGTTAAATGTCAATTTTGGAGCCAATGAGTGGCTGGAGAAAAATAGATTTACAATATGGATAATATCGCGCAATCAAAACACACTGGCAGTGTAAAACGGACGACGATAGGTTGATTATCTAACCATAAAGCCGATTATATATCGATCGGTCGTTAATAAGCGTCATTAACCGGCCGATTTTATGATAGCTTTGGCACAGATGGAGGGAGCAATGGTCAATAACCGCAGAGGAGTACATAATAAACGATGTCACTATGGCCGATGGCGTATCGCGACCCTCAATGATTATCAAAGGCACGCAAAGCGCAGACGTAAATCGAATGGTCATTGAGACGATAGACGAAGAAAATCGGTCGACCATTGGTCAGCGAAGCACAACAACAAATTAACCTGTCTGAGACTTACCATGTGTTGCAGCGGCAGCGGCAACGGATTGAGGAAGGTGCGGTTGATATGCAGCACAGGCGGCTTTTCGACGGCTGTGGAACGAACGAACGACACGCAACAGCTTAGCAGCGCAAGTGCAGCAATATAAAGGTTCATCTCTGCTACAGCCCGTTGAAAATTCGCCATGGGACGGGATACCGGTAAAAACGAACGTCTACGAGTCATCGGAGGAAGGTGCGTGATTATTAACAGCAGTGGCGACAGGCGAAGGGAAGTCCGTTCCGTCTTGACTCCATCAACATCCGAAAAATATTATACTGTAAGTAGGTTAAAACGTGGTAGATCAGTGCGAGGCACGCGCAACAAAAAC